AATCAGAGCACCCCAAGGGGATGCACTTGGTCTAATGAAGCCCTTGCTCAACAACTCTTGAAGTTGGATTTTAACTCTCTTAACTCCGTAGGAGCCATTCTATAAGGGGGTATAGAAATGGGGCGAGTACCCGGTTCAAGATCAATACAGAAGTCAATATCCCTATCTGGTGGCATACAAGGAAGATCTGCAGGGAACACATCCAGAAACTCACGGACCACCGAAACCGACTCAATCGAAGGTACTTGGGTAGTGTCATCCTTGAGATGTGGCAAGAAAGCTAAACACCCTTTACTAACCATTTTCTTATCACGAAGAAAGGAGATGATACGCACCGGATTTGAAGTGTAGTCACCCTCCCACACTAACAGATCTGTCCCAGGCTTGGCTAACGTCACAGTTTTAGCATTACAATCCAAGATTGCAAAATTCAGAGAAAGCCAAGTCACACCCCAGAATTACATCAAAGTCAACCATTTCTAAGATAACCAAGTCTACATGAGTATTGCTCCCCATAAAAGTTACAAGACAAGACCTATACACCTTTTCAACTATCACAGACTCACCCACCGGAGTAGAAACACGAATAGGCATGTCAAGTAATTCACAATGTAAATTAAGACCATTAGCAAATGAGGAAGATACATAAGAAAATGTGGATCCAGGATCAAACAATACAGAAGCCATGCAATCACAAACCAGAAGATTACCTGTGATGACAGCATCAGATGCCTCCGCTTCAGACCGCCCAGGGAAAGCGTAACAATGGGCCCTATCGTTTGTCTGTCCATTGCCCCTACCATGTTGTGATGTAGTGGCTCCAGTTTGCCCATCACCTCGGCCATTTTGGTTTACCACCATTACCTCGACCACCACGTCCTCCAGAATAACGGCCTCTACCATGACCACCTCTACCTCTAGCTATTGGGGGTCTATAACTCTGTTTTGGACAGTTTCTCCTAATATGTCCAGTCTCCCCACATCCATAACACTCTCTAGAGTCAAGCATAGGTCTCTCAGAGAAGTGTTGACCGGTCTGAGGTGGACCCCCAACTACCGTCTGTAGTGAAGACTGAATGGGTCGAACTGAGTAACCTCCGGAACTCTGTCCTCTAGAGTAAGAACTATTAAACTCACCTCCCTTTCAAAACCGCTTTGATGTCGATGCCATGGTGAACTCATCTGGATTCACTTCTTCCACCTCTACCACAAAATCTACCACTTCTTGGAAGGATTTTGCCGTAGCCGCTACCTGTAAGGCTGAAATCTGCAACTCTGACCTCAACCCCTTCAGAAAACGACGAATCCGCTCTTGTGGACTGAAACAAAGTTGGGTGGCATATCTGGATAGTGCACGAAACTTAGCCTCATATGCATTGACCTACATCCTACCTTGCTCTAGGCTCAAGAACTCATCCCTTTTCCTATCCCTCAAAGTCCGGGGGATATACTTCTCCATAAATAAGCTAGAGAATAAGGCCCAAGTCATAGGTGGTGCCTCTATTGGTTGACATTCAACATGTGACCGCCACCACATTTTGACATTCCCTTGAAACTGATAACTCACGAACTCAACACCATACCATTCTACTATACTCATCTTGTGTAGTAGCTCATGACAGTCAACCAGAGAATCGTAAGCATCCTCGGATTCAGCACCCTTGAAGACTGGAGGTTTCAATTTCAAGAACTTACTGAAAAGTTCATGCTGATTATTTGTCATTATAGGCCCAGTAGTCAGACGTGGAAACGTGATTATGTCCAATGAGGCATCCCTACGAGGAGCCATAGTGGCTGCATGTTGTACCTCTGAAACCGGAGGTGTTGGTGCAGAAAACACTGGAGGGGCCTGACCCTGATCAGACAACCCACTAAGATAAGCGAGAACCTGATTGATCATCTCAGGGGTAGGTTGGGGTGGCAATTCCTCATTTTGCACTAGTACTAGATGGGACGGGCGCTTGTCCTCTTCCCCTAGAGGACGTCCTCTCACGACCTCTACCACTGCCTCTTGCCTCTACTCTTCCTCAAGCTACAGCCCCAGTGGCTGGCTCGGACGCTTCTTGTCTTGCCGGTGTTGGTGTTGGCGCGGTCGTTGCTCTAGTTCTAACCATCTGCGAAATAGAGTGAAGATGGTCAGATACCAATTTGTATCACCTAGATACCAATTGGACCCAAGTAATAGCACGAAAGAAAGAAAGAATGGAATTTTCCTAAAGTCTTATAGCCTCTCAAAGAAAAGTCAAGGCGTCCCCCTACCGTTCCTTAAGACTCTACTGGATTCGTTCTTGTGTGATGAGACCAACAAACCTAATGCTCTGATACCAAGTTTGTCATGACCCTAAACTGAGCCGCGACTGGCACCCACACTTACTCTCCTATGTGAGCGAACCAACCAATCTAAACCTTAACATTTCAAGGTAATATCAAACATAAAATAATGCGGAAGACTCAAACTCATTAATAAAATCAATAACTATTATTATCCCCAAAATCTGGAAGTCATCATCACAAGAACATCTACTTCAAATTACTAAATCTAAGAGTTTCTAAGAAGCTAAAAATACATAAAAGCTAGTCCATGCCGGAACTTCAAGGCATCAAGACATGAAGGGGAAGATCCAGTCCAAGCTTACAAAAATAATCATTCGAGCAACCGGTTAGAGGAAAAATGGTGAAGAAATAGAGAAGCAAAAATCAATCAAGCGCCCCAAAAGGGCAAAGGTTAAAGTGCATCACCACCAAAAACCTCGATGTCTTGTGAGTCTAGAGGAATTCTTGCCAAGCTAGTTCGACACAAAGTCTACTTAAGGCATGTCGAGGCATCATGTTTCAATATGGATAAAGAACAAACAATGAAGGTGCCTCCTACTGTAAAAGAAGGAACAATGAGTGAATCCTCACCAAAAGTGTCTCTTGGGGGAAAAAGAAAAAGAAACAAGGGAAATCTCAGAAATGATGTCTCTTTCATCTTCTGAAAAATCTATTGAACTTTCTTCCCAAGAAGCACATGTCTGTGATAGTAAAATTACATTTATAGATAACGATCTTCTATTTAGTGAAACACTACACAATCATCCTTTGTATATGGTGGGTTATGTGCTAGAGAAGAAGATAAATAGAATCTTAATAGATAAAGGATATGGAGTCAACATTTTGCCTATCCACACATTAAAGGAACTTGGCATCACGACTTGGGAACTTAGTGAAATTTGTCTGTTGATACAAGGATTTAATCAAGGCAGGCAGAGGTTCATAGGCTCTATTAAATTAGAGATCCACATGGAAGATTAGCGATCAAGCGCATGAATGCATGTGATTGACGCAAAGACATCATACATTATATTACTTGGCAGGCCTTGGGTACATGAGAATAGAATTGTCTCATCTTCATACTATCAATGTTTGAAATATCTTGAAGGTGGAATTGAAAGAAAGATAGTTGCAGATGATAATCCTTTCCCCGAAGTAGAGACACACTTTGCGGATGTGAAATACTATTTGAGAAGTTATGTTGTTAAAGGGGTTAAATACAATGACGTCAAATTAATCAAGATTGATAAGATCATAAGCAAAAGAATTTATGCGTCTATCGAAAAGGTAAAAATTGACACTAGAGACTCTTGTCCCATTCTTAATGAAGGAAAGATCCTTTCTTCAAAGAAGAAGCAGACTTCTAGGTTTTTCTATGTTCCAAAAGCGCAGAAAGAACAAGATCAACCATCTAACATTGAAGAAAATGCATTAAAAGGGCTAACTCTTCCTACCAGACGGATTGATGCAATAAACTTGTCTTCAAAGTTGCCAGAAAAGTCAGTCGCTCAAGATCAAGTGCTAGATATGGCTCTCCCAACAAAATGCACAAGAGAAGGTTTTGATCCCAATGCATACAAGTTATTTGTGAAGGCAGGATACAACCCTGGTGAGCCATCAGCTCTAGGAAAACTCCCGTCAGAAGATACAACTAAGAAAGCGCGTGAAGGCCTATGTTATAGACAACTGCCGCCAATTCGCATTTCCATAAGAAGGGCCAGAATAATCATATAACTTTTGAAGATGACGTCACTACCACCAATAAAAGGCCTTCTGTATTTGATCGACTTGGTGAAGCGACAACAAGAATTTATGTGTTTGAGAGGTTAGGTCCTCTGAAGAAGAATAACAAGAACCTGAGAAGTTATTTAAAAGTTACAACGCCTACTTCACATTTAATTCGAAATGATTTCAGAAGTTTGATTCCTTCTACGATGAGGCGACGAGTGGAAATTTTGGTTTCCTGTAAAGAGGAACTCATGACAAAGGTTCATACTGTGCTTTAAACCAAAGAGCGCGAGAAATATGAAGAAAGTGTAGGTTCCTCATATCATGTTACAATCCAAAATGAGTACGATTTTTTGCCTCAAAAGAACATTGAGGGAGATCTAGAAGATATTGTCTCGTGGTGTCATATATCGGTCAATGATAGTGATCCTGTGGAAGAGGAAGATGCTAAAGAGGCTCCACCAGAACTTAATGAAGGACTAAAGATCACAATAGATCCTTTGAAGGAAGTTAACCTTGGCACTGATGAAGATCCAAAGCCAATTTATGTGAGTGCATTTCTAGAAATTGATGAAAAAGTCGCTTACATGAATATACTCAAAGAATATAGAGATGTCTTCGCTTGGAGTTATAAAGAAATGTGTGGATTGAATCCTAGAGTAGCGGTCCATCAATTGGCAGTCAAAAATGGTTCTCGTCCGGTTAAACAAGCTAAAAGACATTTTAAACCAGACTTGATTCCGTTGATAGAAAATGAAGTTAGCAAACTCATTGGGGAAGGATTTATTCGTGACGTAAAATATCCTACATAGATTTTAAGTATTGTTCCCGTGAGGAAGAAGAATGGTCAAATTCGAGTTTGAGTTGACTTTAGAGATCTCAATAATGCATGCCCTAAAGATGAGTTTCCTGTTCTCATTCCAGAGTTGAAAATTGATGCCACATCTGGTTATGAGGCAATGTCGTTCATGGATGGTTCTTCTGGATATAATAAAATCCGCATGTCACCAAAAGATGAAGAACTCACTGCATTTCGCACGCCAAAAGCTATTTCTTGCTACAAAGTGATTCCATTTGGTGTAAAGAATGATGGCGCCACATATCAAAGTGCTATGCAAAATATCTTGGACGACTTGCTCCATAAAAATGTTGAATGTTATGTTGATGATTTGGTAGTAAAGTCGAGGAAAAGAGGTGATCATTTGAAAGACTTAAGGATGATGTTTCAGTTACTCCGAAGATATCAATTAAGGATGAATCCATTGAAATGTGCCTTTGGAGTTACTTCCCGAAAGTTCCTTCGCTTTATTGTGAGACATCTAGGAATTAAATTGATCAATCCAAAGTCGATGCAATATCAAAGATGTGTGAACCTCGAGATATTCATGAGTTAAAAAGTCTCCAAGGAAAGTTAGCCTACTTGACAAGGTTCATATGAAATCTAGCGGGGAGATGTCAACCATTCAGTCATCTTATAAAGAAAGGTGCTCCTTTTAATTGGGACCAAACATGTAGCGAAGCCTTTAAAAGTATCAAATCGTATCTAGCGAAACCTACGGTTTTGGCAGCCCCTATACCTGGAAAACCATTGATACTCTACATTGCAGCACAAGAATGATGGCGCCACATATCAAAGGGCTATGCAAAATATCTTGGACGATTTGCTCTATAAAAATGTTGAATGTTATGTTGATGATTTGGTAGTAAAGTCGAGGAAGATAGGTGATCATTTGAAAGACTTAAGGATGATGTTTCAGTTACTCCGAAGATATCAATTAAGGATGAATCCATTGAAATGTGCCTTTGGAGTTACTTCCCGAAAGTTCCTTCGCTTTATTGTGAGACATCTAGGAATTAAATTGATCAATCCAAAGTCGATGCAATATCAAAGATGCCTGAACCTAAAGATATTCATGAGTTAAAAAGTCTCCAAGGAAAGTTAGCCTACTTGACAAGGTTCATCTCAAATCTAGCGGGGAGATGTCAACCATTCAGTCATCTTATAAAGAAAGGTGCTCCTTTTAATTGGGACCAAACATGTAGCAAAGCCTTTAAAAGTATCAAATCGTATCTAGCGAAACCTACGGTTTTGCCAGCCCCTATACCTGGAAAACCATTGATACTCTACATTGCAGCACAAGAAAAGTCTATAGGAGACCTGTTAGCTCAAGAGAATAGTTAAGGCAAAGAAAATGCTCTTTATTTCTTAAGTAGAACAATGACGCTAAATAAGCTAAATTATTCTCCAATTGAAAAGTTATGCTTGGCACTGGTCTGCTCAATTCAAAAGATGAAGCATTATTTTCAAGCTCATGTTGTTCGCCTTATTTCTAGAGCAAATCCCATTAAGTTTGTTATGTCAAAACCTGTCCTTAGTGACTGACTAGCAAGATTGTACGTCCAATTCCAACAATTTGAGATTGTGTACATCCCTCAAAAATCCGTGAAGGGACAAGCACTAGCGGATTTCTTAGTAGATCATCCTATACCAAATGATTGGGAGTTAACTGATGAGTTTCTTGATGAAGATGCGATGTTAATTGAAGTTCAACCTCCTTCAAAAATGTACTTTGACACGGCTGTACATCACGACAGAGCTGGTGCTGGCGTGGTGTTCATCACATCACAAGAAGAGATTCTACCATTTTCTTTTACTCTAAAACAATGTTGCTCCAATAATGTCGCTGAATATCAAGCACTGATACTTGGACATAAAATGGTCGTTGACGTGAAACAATTACATTTACAGGTCTTTGGTGACTCTCAATTGATGATTAATCAACTCTTAGGAAGTTATGAGGTAAAAAAGCCTGAATCGCTCCTTTATCATGATTATTCTCAAAAATTGATAAGATGGCTTGGGGATGTAACCCTTTAACATATGCGTCGAACAGAGAATAAGAAAGCAGATGCATTGTCTACTCTTACTTCAATGCTAATACTTCCTGATCAAACACAAGTAACTGTCTGTCAAAAATGGATAGTACCACCGTCAAATGAGGAAGAATATATTGAAAATAAGCTTGATCATATTGTCTCCATTGTTGAAGATGCAAAGGAAGATTGGAGACAACACATCATTGACTACCTATATTATGGGATACTTCCAGAAAATCCAAGAAGAAGAACTGACATACGTCGTCTTACACCTCGTTTCCTTTACTACAAGGATATATTATATAAAAGATCATTTGAGGGTATGTTATTATGATGTTTGAGAGAGGAAGAAGCGATTCAAGCTCTGCAAGAAGAACACTCATGAGTATGTGGATCACATCAATCTGGACCAAAACTTCACTTTCAAATAAAGAGGATGGGGTATTACTGGCCAACCATGGCGAAAGATTGCTTATATTACGCCAGAAAATGCGATGCTTGTCAATTTCATGCAAATTTTATTCATCAGCCACCCAAAGTATTGCACCCAACCATCTCATCTTGGCCATTTGACGCTTGGGGACTGGATATGGTAGGAACATTACTAAAGTCTTATGGTAGATACTTGTACATCTTGGCTGCAACTGATTACTTTTCAAAATGGGTTGAAGCTGTCACTCTTAAAGAGGTGAAGAAACAGAATGTTGCAAATTTTATCCGAGTAAATATTATCTATCGCTTTGGCATCCCTCTCTATATAATAACAGACAATGGAAAACCATTTGATAACAAGTAAATGAACAAGATTTGTGATCTTTTTGACTTTAAGCAGCTTAAATCTTCTATGTACCATGCTGCCGCTAATGGTCTTGCCGAAGCATTCAATAAGACTTTATGCAACCTGCTCAAGAAAGTTGTCTTCAAATCCAAACGGGATTGGAATAAAGAATGGAAGAAGCTTTGTGGGCATATAGGACAACATATCGCACACCAACTCAAGCAACACCATATTCACTTGCTTTTGGAGTTGAAAAGTCCTGCCACTCGAGCGTCAAATACCCTCCTTAAGACTTGCTATTCAAGAAGGGATCACTGAGGAAGAAAAAGCTCGATTGCGTCTTGTTGAGTAAGAAGCACTTGATGAAAAGCGGTTAGAAGCCCAACAAAACCTTGAATGTTATCAAGTTCGTCTATCTCGTGTTTTTAATAAGAAGGATCGCTTGAGTTGCTTTAAAGTTGGATATCAATTTCTCGCGGTAAGAAGACCAATCATTACTTCGCACAAGTCTGGGGGCAAATTTACCTCAAAGTGGAATGGACCATATGTCGTACAAGAAGCATATTCAAATGGTGCTTACAGGCTTGTTGATGCTGATGGCTTAAGGATTGGTCCTATTAATGCCAAATTCCTAAAGAGATACTATCCTTGAAGTAAGATGATGCTCCTTAAGGTACGAGCCTAAACTGCATGTCACTCCTGGCCAGCAAAAGTATAAACTATATACGGCAAAACCACACAAAAAAAAACAATAATCACTCAAATCCCCAGAACTATATTGTGACTTGATCCTCTTTATTGAGGCACGTAGGCGCTTAGAACCATATTCTAAGTTCAGTTGCATGAGTGTAAAAAAAAATGTTCCCACTTGATTTGTCGCATGACAGTCAAAGCGATATGTATTTTATTTTATCTTTTGTCTCATAAAACTTTAGACTTGTATGAAGTATTGATGGGTCTATGGAAGGGGAAACCCTTGTAAAATATGAATCTCTTATTAGTACGGTGAAACTCTTTAAATTAGATCAAGTATGCAAATTAAAGTCTTTATATTCTTCGAGTTTATTATTTGAACTATCCAAATTCTCTAAGCATACAGGTTGAAGTATTCAAATCCTCTAGGTATGAAGGTAAGACTTCAAGTATGTAAGTAGAAGTCTTCAAAGTCTCCAAATGCGCATGTAATTGAATTTCATGCCTTAAAGGTGGGCGATATTTGTCCCTTTGCACCTTAAGCTAGTGTTTTCACGAGTGTATACTTAAAAGGATCTAAATTTTCATGCCTTAAGGTGGACAAGAATTGTCCCTTTGCACCTTAAGTTGGCCTTTTGACCGGGTATATTTCAAAGGATCTTTAAATTTTTCATGCCTTAAGGTGGAAAATATTTTTCCCTTTGCACCTTAATCTAGCTTTTTTGCGAATTTATCTTCAACAAATCTTTAAATTTCTATGCCTTAAGGTGGAAAAGCTAGTCCCTTTGCACCTTAAGCTAGAGTTCCCACGGATTTGTCTTTAAAAGGATCTTTAAATTTTCATGCCTTAAGGTAGACAATATTTGTCCCTTTGTACCTTAAATTGGTCTTTTCACGGGTTTATCTTGTCTCAAGTTGGTTAAGCATTCGGGACCTTGTGGCACCTTGACTTTATTTTCAAGGCGGGAGCGTTACACGGTATTCTATTAAAGCTTTATGTTGGTCAATCATTTGGGACCTTGTAACACCTTGAGTTTATTTTCAAGGCGGGAGCGTTACACAGTATTCTAGTAAACTATAGAAGATGTTAAGTCAAGTGATACTCAAGCATTTCAGCTTGAAATGTTCTCTAAATCACCAAGTGCTCCTTGTTGTCTATCTTCAGTGGATTGAGATTAAAACAAACAAAAAATTAATGTCTTGAAGATGAACTATACACTTTTGATTTCAAATAGGTAAATTTGAGATATAGCAGAAAAGGGTAGTCACTATTTGATTTGAGTTTTACTTTACTTGTTAAATTTGGTGTTTGTGAATTAGGGTTCTTGTAAAGAGTATATTGTTGATTAAAGTTTGAGCTCTTCTTGGGTGTTCCTGCTGAATCTGATTGGGCAAATTTAATATTGAGTTAAGGTAAATTGAAACTGAGGACTGCTAAGAATCTGATTACTTTGGGTTTGGGCATTAGTGGAAAGTATTGAAATGAATTGTTGAATAAACCATAGGGGTTAATATTGAAGAACATATATAGGGTCTAGGGGTGTCAAATGAGCGGATTGGGTTGAAATTGAAAATATTAAAATGGGTTCAAATAGAAATCGGTTTGGGTCTTGACCTGCCCAAGTTTACATTGACTCAAATGGACTAAAAAAGGAAAAAATAGTAAACTAGTCAAAATCAATAACTTAATTAGTAAAAAACTCACTACTTTAAAAAAATTAGTTAAAATGTCAAAAATGTCATTATTTTGAAAAAGAATATGAATCTTAATTAAACCCCTATTTTATCTCCTAAAAAAATTATTTACATTTCCATGTATATCCATAGTTCACTTTTTCCAAATTATTTTAATTTTAAAAAAATCAAAATCTACAATTTTCCCCCAGATCTCTCTCTTCCATATTTATTCTATAAGTTAAAAAAATAAAATTCTATCTCTTTATATTTTCATGTTCATTCAACCTTAAAATCTTTCTTCTCTTCAACTTCAATTATTTTATTATCTTCTACCAAAATGTTTTTTTTATCTTCAAAATCTGGATTCACACAAATTCCTCTATTTAAGGTATTTTCATCGTTATCTTCTCTTTTTTAGATTTATTTTCTGATTTTATTGTTGTTTAAATCATTGGTGAAAGTGAGATTCTTCTCGTTTAGAACTATAAAACACTCTTCAAAGAATGATTTTAAGAGACACTATTCATCTTGGTAAAACGGTTTCTAGTGATTTTCCATCATTTAATCTATGTATTACTCAAAAAATAGTTGATATTGTAAGATATGCTTCTACAATTAGGGAAGAGACACGACAAGAATAAAGTCTTCATCAAATTTAGATTGAAAACTTAACTCGTAGTGTACAAGAAAATGACGACGAAGATCAAATTGTTGATGAAGAGGTATTTAAGTATTTTTTTACATGTTTAGAGTTTTGCATGTTGAGTTGAAGTTAAATAACAATTTGTGCAACAATGTGTACTGAATGTATTTGTAAATTTATTGTTATGTACGGTGTGCAATATTCATTAGTCTCTATTTTGTATTCAGTTGTTATTTTATTATTGTATTTTAAGTAAGTTTTTGTTAATTTTGATAATGTACTATTTTATTTCATTCCTTTATATTTTTTCACATTTGTAGATATTCAATAATTTATGAATACATTTTGCATAACTATGACATTTCAGATTTTGTTGATGACCTTTTGTTGGATTTGTGTTGTATGCTATGAAATTTTTATGTATTTGTATTTGCAATTTTTTTCTTAGAATTTTATATCCTTTTCTCAGTTAATATTCAAACTAGTATGTATGCTATTAATATTTAGATTCATTCAAAATCTCATGTTGTATAGTTATGAATCTTGTATTTGTTCCTAATTAAATCTATCCCAAATGTATATTAACTAGATATGTATATTTTTTACATGAAGAACAAAATCATATTAGTTTATATATATATATATATATATATATATATATATATATATATATATATATATATATATATATAATTCAAAATTTTGTATCCTTTCTCAATATGTATTTAAAATCGTATATATACAATTAAGATTTGTATAAGTTCAAAAATTATGTTGCATTGTTTATTCTAATGGTATGTCAACTAGTTATGTATTTTATATAAGAATGATTAGACCAAATATTCAATTATTTTTTTCAATTTCATATTTCATTCTCACTTTTTCATCATACTAATTTTTTGTATTTTATATATTATTATACAAAATTCTAAATAAAAACTAGAATAAATAGAAATACAAATAAAATACATATTAAAATTAATATATACAAGATTTTTGAAGAAAAAAAATAACTACAGAGGGAAAAAAATATATGAAACTAATATATTTCTTAAATGACTATATAGATACATTTGGCATACCTATTGGAATGAATATAAACTAATAAAAAACTATAATAAATATTAATAGAATATATTGTGGAATGAATATAATTTTAAAAAGGTAAAAATTCTACACTAAAAAAAGAACAAAGTTTAAATTTTATTTG